AAATCAGTTAATTAAATAATAACATGACATTATTCGATTTTAGATCGTTAACACATTGAGATATTTTCGAAGCATGGTTATTGTAGAATAATTCTAAGTTTGGCTCGTTGGTGTAATGGTAGAAATGGGTGGTTAATAATTAATGAGTCGTGGGTTCGATCCCCACTGGGGCCATTATTTTTCTGATCAATTTATAATTTTTCTGAAACATAGAAATCTGAATATTGAGTGGGTAGTATATCGACGATTCCACCCGGGTCACGAACCAACGTCCACAGATGAAAAGCGGTATAGTATAATCGCGTTATGGTCTGTGTATATCTGAATCTCCATGACTCTATAAACGCTCCTGTGATTATTATAAAGATATATCACAGTGCTGCTATCTATAAGGTTACGGTAGTTTATTTCGCAACTATAAGGGATATGTGCAAACGATATATGTATTGGCATTGATTTTTGACAAATTGTCATTGAGAGATAACGGCCATTGACAACTTATTATTTTAAAATATAATTTTATAAAACTACGTTTGGGGTAGGGACTTTTGCTGCTAGTCTCGTGCCTGCCTGCCTCTGGTTCCAGTTGGGATTATGTCTTGTTCAGAGTGAACAGTGGTCATGAACGGTTGATCGCGGTATAAGTCACTGCTGTAGCAAACTTTTGCAGCGAATTAAAAGACATCTATTTTGAATATTCTTTTGTTCCATCTGGCAACACATCGTCAAATATGTTTTATTACTCAAGACATGCCCACTTCAACAAGTACGAATGTATCAGATGCCACTTGTGTATCAATATACACTCAGTCCCTTAGTACATCGTTTTTCGCTCCAGCCTTTATTGATCGAATATTATAAATAGACTTTCCACTGTCCCTTTTTGTCACAGAGTCAAAATCGCGCTGATTTATAAAGTGTTTTTCCGGGCACGAGCGTTCCAACTTTAAATTCTTATAATATATATCTGTAACATTGGATTTCCGTGTTGTAGAACATATACGGTCATTGTTTCTTACACACTTGAATTGTTTATTGTTTTTTACTTTTTGCATATACCTATCAACATCTATACTATAAGTAAGAAACGAAAATTCAATAGGCACATAGTTTATGTATGCATTGAATTGTATATACATATAATAAATGACGTAAATGAAAAAGTAATTCATGGCTCCCTTCGCGGTTTTCTCTATTTTTTTTTTAATCTGAACTATGTTTCATTAAAATATACACTTAAAAAATACCTTAATTTAAATAATCACGTAAATACAGAAATAAAGTACAACTATTGCATAAATTAAGTGTATTCCGTGTACTGTTATAATCAATAAACACATTATAATTACATTCAGTAGCTCAGGAGTAAATGGAACCGCTAAAATTTGCCATAAATTTAAAATCAATTTCTCCCCTGGCACATTGGGCGGACACACCTCTGTGTTCTTTACACTGGGCAGTTTTATTTACAGGCAAGTAGTTGATCACTTAGTAAATACATATGTAGGGCAGGAAATACAATTTTTATTCTTTTCCCGTTCTGACAGAAAATGTCTTTTAAACGTTAATATTTGAAGCAAGTGGATAACGTTCCGAAGCGAGTTTTAATTACAGCAACTCTTTAGCGAGCTTCTCGGTAATTCGTTGTTGCCTGTTGCTCATCCTAGCGTTAAAGTATTTGCCCACTTCCAAAGGATTTTTTGCCAGTTGCCGTACGAGAAATTTATGAGAACGGTACTAATAAAAATTAAATTTGTTAAAGTAGATATGTACGAAATTTTGATAGCTTCTGAAGCGTTATAAATTTATCCGACAATCGGCTTTAGGATATCTTGCATTATAAATTAATTAAAATGAGAAAAAATAAATAAATACTACTATAATTAACTTTTAAGCTAAAGATATCTAAGCATTAGTTGTTGCTCCGTTGCTCTTGAACACGAAACTCAGAGTTCAATCGAATGAAGAATAAGACTTTATTAAACCTTGACTTTAAATGCAGTGGTAACCCTCGCTTGTCATGACGGAAAGTGAAATACCTAAGCCATGTAGCTGCTTTGGACATACACGAATTCATTGACTGAAACCGAATTGATATCCAGATTATCCGAAATCAGTGTTCCAGATAAATTATAAATTTCAAAAAAATAAAGATAATAATAAAAATCAAGTGAGGTCGAAATTACAACCTAAAAGATTTAAGCCCGTCGAACTCTGTGACTGCTCCTATGTTGGTATATTACTAAAATTAAAGGAAACGCCCATTAATAAAATTAGAGCAAAAATAAATAGTAAAAAGTGTAACGCTGAACTCTAGAGCGACGCATTGTTCATTAGAGCGTCGTAATTCGTTCACCCTCTAATTTTCCGCTTCATAATCTCCAGGCAACATGGGGCCGTCGTATCAGGACTTCTGGACTAAATATTCTGCTTTGCCGATTATCTGTTGCTTGATTAATAGTTTAATCAACTGGAGGGGGAAATGCTGAAGATATAGCATGTAATATGCATACGAAGTTCACTCCATATCGAGTTAACAGAGGTAAAAACTACGAAACCTAAAAACAATGTGTATTGCCTTTTAACGGTTGAAAACTCGAAGTGTATTTATATCTAACTTATCTACAATTTAACTACGGCCCGACGTGCCGTGTTCATTGGGGGACTGAAGATGGAGAGTATACCTAATGTCAAATTCAAATGCTACGCTAGCGACATCTGTTTTCCCTTGTAGTTGGTATTTGGGGGACAAGCTGGGTCTTTACAAAACTGACTGGCGGTGTTTGGGAATTTGTGATTTTAAACAAATTAAGTAATTCACGTTTACAATCGTTAAAATGTTTAATTAAATGGTACTACTCGGTAAACACAACAAACAAAAAATAGGTATACGACAGTTAAATATATTATAATATGTTTATAACCCACTTAAGTTCTGTTTAGTATATAAAAATTAAGTATACTATATTACTGGTTTTAAGTACACTGACGTAAAATCTTAGATTATATATAAGCCCATAGGTTACTTAAATAAAATAGTTGTATAGTAATAAAAATATTATTGCCCCAAATCACGAATAATAAATGTAATCACAAGTTAAATTGAAATGATTAAGACCATTTCTACGTGCTCGGATTGGAAGTGGGTCAAAAAGTAAAGGTTACTCGTTAGACAAAGCTTTCATCTGGCCTACTTTTATTTACCTCGGGGAAAAAAAATCGAAGGGCACTTCGATGCAAAATGTTATGGATCTTTCGGTTTCTAGAAAACAATATATGCTAATATTATAAAGCTGAAGAGTTTGATTGTTTGAATGCGCTAATCTCAAGAACTATTGGATAGAATAAAAAATTCTCGAAGTGATGGTTTTTTTGGCAATCAAATATTCATTATTTCTATCTTACAGTGACTTAGTCACTTTACGTATAAGTTTGGTTGAATTTACAAGATTATTAGTATGTTGTATACTAATATGACTAGGAGTCAAACCCGGGACGTTGAATGCAATGCGTTAAACCACTGAGTTTCGAAGCTGTATAAAACATAGCTGAATATTCGTAATTTAAGTATTGTCTGTAGTTTACATTACGATAAAATAATTTCAACGGTAGAAATCGTGAAATTTATTACTCAACTTGACCACGCCTGCTGTAAAGCATCCGATATATCGGGCCGTAGTTAAATTAATTCAAAACTAAGGTAATTAAAATATTTCATGTTTTAAACCGTTGACACTATTTTATTTAAATATTCGTACTTTTCCAGACATGGTCGTGAATATCTTAGTGCTCCAAGTGACTTCTATGCCTACGACACCTCATTTCGTAAACAAATTAGATACCGTCTGGTAACGTAATATATAACCTGCCTAGTTCCGTACCTAACCCGGCGCAGTCAAAGGAACTCTCATAATTTAGTCATGACCGCCCGGCGCTTCCTTTAACCCTGCACAGACTAAGATCTTTTTCGAATCTTGCGAAATGCACAATCATGTTTCTCAATATGGAACATTATCTATGAAGGCACTTTATATAGATAGATTTATTAGATATATACTGTGAGTTAATATATTAAAATATATGACACAATTTTAACCTGACAATCTTCTGATCGATAGCAAAAAGAGAAATATCGTTTTTGCACAATTATATAACTCAACTGTTAAGAACTGCGATTCTTATTAAAAAAATACCCCTGACAGTTTACGTAGTTTACGCGAGTAGTTCACATTTAAATAAAACACTTTAACGGTTTAAAACTATATATTACTAAAACTTTTTTGAAAATTATTTTAACTAGGGCCCGACGTCTCCCCGTGACCACGGCTCCTACGAAGCATCCGAAACGTACATAATATCGCGTTTTAAACCGTTAAAGTGTTTTCAGAAGTGTAGTTTCCCAACCGTTGGGTTCGTCTTATAAACTTCAAATTGCGAAAAACCTCAACATATTTCCCGATAAAGAAGTGATGTCACGAAATCGTAGTGCGAATCGCCATTATATTTCTGGGGCATGACATATCCCTTGGCGTGATTTAGATAGAGCATACTGAACGCAATCTAATTTCGTGAAAGACGCAATAAATGTACTCGCATTTAGGTCAGTTCCTTTTCCGTTTACTTCACTTTTGTGAAACCAGTGCTCGAAATATCTTCTATTCGATTCTGTTTATTGAATCGATTGGCACAAATGTAGACTTACGAAATGAAATATTGGGACTTGTACACAATAGGGAAACTTTTCCAATGATGTCATCGGACGTAAAATGGAAATACTTAGTAGGACTTTGCACAAACAAGATTTATACTTATTAGTTTCACATCTCGTATAATCATAGTTTAACCCGCAACTTTCTTATAACTTAATTACACCACTCTGTCCACGCGTCGACATACTTCCGAGCATATTAGGGTTTTCTCCGCGCACGAGGAAGCACCTTATCTGGGGGTGCGGTGCTTGAGAGATAAGGTGGGTTTTATGCAAGAAAGGGGTCACCAACCTTTTGACACTGAATTTCTGTCGCGGCCGTGTTATCTGCGGTCGATTCGGAGAACGTAACGCCGCGTCGAGCGCGGCGTACGTCGTGCGCCAGGGCGCAGGCGTGGCGGCTTCGTTTCGGCGCGCGACCTATGGCACTCGCGGGCCAAGACTGCCGTTACGGCGTGCGGTTCGCGCGTTTTCCCTCCCGCGCTTTTCCTCAGCATGCGCACATCGGGCCTGTATTGTTCTGCAAATAGCCGACCAAATGTTCCGCGCTCCACACCGTCTGATAGTGGACTGTTGCCTCTACAGTGTGGGCGACCGAAAAGCCGTTTCGACTTGCACAATCGCTGCTTACGTTAGGTAAAGAATCAACACGTAGTTTTTACGTTACATCACGTTATTACGGAGTATCATTAATTGTTCGTCTAATGGAGTGACATGAAAAAGCTTTGTGCCTGACCTAGTTCCCAGTACGTGTCACGATGGCGACTGTCCCCACAAGCTATTTCAAGAACGCATAACCGGAGCCGTTTACAATCAGTCTGTAAACAGCGATACGCGATCTACATCACAATAATGTCAGTTATCGGTAAACAATATGCGTCTGTACGCTGCTTCGACTGTCATTATGTTAAAGCAATTCTACTGTCGTTAGCCTCAATTTGTTATTTTGAATAACGTGTAACAATGTTCAAATAAAACTGTTTTAAAAGAGTTTACTCGGATTGTATTGTACCCGATGTTGTTGTGAACGAGAGATTTGCTCGTTATAAAGTCTTCGCGTTAACTACAGATAATAGTGTAAAAATAATACAATTTGCGTTAAAATAAAGTTAAATATTAAAAATAAAAATAAACTTTAAAATTAAGAGTTTTTTATTTTACGATAAACCCTTCAAATAAATATAAAATTGTTAATTAAACAATGTTTCATCATTTATAATTTATAGCTTTTATGAAAACTTTATAAATCCTTTTAATAAACTTTATAAAACATTTTAACGGTTTAAAACGCGATATATTTTAGTTAAACTTGTTTGCAAATTATTTTTAACTATGGCAAGTTTAACTAAAATATATTGCGTTTTAAACCGTTAAAGTGTTTTATGTAAACGTTTACTACTCGCGTTAACTGCAAAAAATATTTTTTATTAATGCATTGTTTAAATACAACAAATTAAAGTGATTTTTTTCCTAAATATGACTGAGCAGCTCTGTAGTTTATCAGGAACTTATAGGTTATCACGCGGTTCTGGGTTTGGGTCCCAGTAACAATATTTTTTGCAGCCAGGCAGGCCTCAGAAGATTATTTAAACTAACAATGATACAATACTATTTGAATGTTAGTACTAGGTAGGTAGTTTTTTGATGGGCTAGTTGGAATAATTGCTACCATTATTATATATATATTATATACCAATAGTATCGCCAAAATCAACGGGTCGAGGTCACAACATTTTTGTAATCAATTTTTAATTTTTCTGAAAAGCTTCGTCTAGAAATCTGGAAATTAATTGGGTGCTAAGAATGTTGATATTCTGTCCTTGTCACGATCCACCGTCTACCGTCCGCAGGTGAAAAAGCTGTCAAGTTTAATCGCGGATCTGTGGATTGACGAATATCCAAAGCCAAAAAACATCGACAACACAATACACAACATGTTAGATATTATGTCGTTGGGGAATTTCTCTCTCTCTCTCTCTCTCTATTATAACAATTCTAACTAAGCTTATGTTACTATGAGTATATATACTGTTCCAGATATTGCAAGCGACGATTGACTTCCTATTTGCAATCTGAACTGAAATAGGCCACGGTACATTCAGGTATAGCTCTAATTTACTAGTACTCTACATCCGATTGGTATTTTTAATTTAGCACTATCTATAGTCTTTTGTTGTATAAAAATCTTCTACGCAGGAACACTTTTTTTTTATATAATTATAATTTTATCTCCAATGATTTTCTTAAGCTGCAAGTAAGACATAACATTTCGTGAGAGGTACATGTATAAAAAAAATCGAAGGTGACATACCTATAGGACAAGTAGCTCAATTGGTTAAAAGAACAGCACGGAACGCTGTGGATGCCAGTTCCAGTAGTGTCTGTGTCGTACATTTGTAAAATCGAATTTTAATTTAAAAATACCTTTAAATAAAACAATTAAACAGTTTAAAACGCGATATTAAACCATTAAAGTGTTTTATTTAAATGTTTACTGCCGTAAACTACGGACAGTATTTAAGAATACCTTTTAAACTAACACCCCGCACTACTGCTGATAAATGTTTTTTTTTTCAATGAAACGATAAAGGGCGATTACTTACGAATATAGCTTAAGCTATATCAAACACCATACAACACTTTGTACCATTCTCAGTATTGGCTCATATCCAAACTAGCGCAATCATCATGTAATAGACTGATCCCAAGTCCACATTGCGGTTTGTCGTACTCAACTTGACCTTAGCAATAAAAATAAAGATGTACATCTCGCGATTGCATTATATTATTATTAGTTTTATATAACAATATACATTTTATGTATGTGAATGACTTTGGTTGCATAAAGACCAAGAGCAGCTACCCTGGAGGGTAGACGGTGACCCGACATCTTAAAGCATGATCTCTAGATACCAGGATTAGACGTTTTAGAGAAAAAAAGCTAGGATTGGAACTGACTTTTTAAAATTACTAGGTATAAGATTCACTGATGTATTTAAAAATCAGACTTAATAATAGATATTTGAATTAGAGAGCTTAATAAGGGAGCTCTATAACCCCCGTATGAGAAACAATAATAAAAATTATAACAACATCTATTGTTGATAAAACATTAATAATACGTTAAGCTCTTACCTTCATACCATGCATTATGTTAGATACATATATACTCCGTTTACTTGTATTAAAATAAAGTAAAATAATTGATAATTCTATATACGGTTCATAAATTAAAGTCTATATAGTACGGGGCCCAGAGTACTTCCTTGTGCAGGAATAAAGTGGGCCTTTTTAATTAAGTTCGCTAAAGGAGGTCAGCATACCGCGGTATTCAGTAATTGCTTTGTGGCATTTAACAATAGATATATGAAGTAATTTTTAAGAGAATCAAATATATTAACTAAACAAGTCATTATATTAAGATAATTTAAATGACAATGGTTGATACTCACTTACGTGCATGGTTTGTTTCTGTGCATTTGATTTGGTAAATTGTTTTAATTAATAAGTAAAACTTTGAAAACATACTTAATATTGTATAAACTTATTATAGCTGTAGTGTTACCCATATTATTATCACGTATTATAGTAAATCTCCATTTTCAAGGTTGCCTGGAAGAAATCGCTTTTTAGCGATAGGTTTTTAGGCCGCCTTTTCTCACTACATTTTGTTAATTTTAATTAAGTTTTTTTTGTAACATTGTGGTGAAAATAAAGTATTTTTTGTCTGTTTGTTTGTTAATTTATTTTATTATATAGTATATTTAGTTTGTACGTACTCAAAACATTAAATACGGGTTTAACTTCATGACATAGAATTCCGAGACAAAATAGATAGACAGGACTACTTAATTATATGTTATAAAACTAAGGGTGACTCGACAAAAGTATTAAAAGACGAAAAAATGCTTGCCGACTGATCTAAAAATAATATACCTACTCACATAACACAATTTAATACAAACTCACATCATTGCACTACTTCTGTCCATAGTAATTCTTGTTTTAGTTGTTTCTCAACACCGAAAACATAATTCCACAAACAATAATGGTTACACAAATAAATCGCAACTTTGTTCGATCGAAAACAAATACAATGCCGAAAGCACGTTCGCCCAGAGCCACGCTACATAAGCGAGCTTTCAAATTATGTTTTTGTCTGCGAGAACGAGACAGACAAAAAAAACATGAACTTTCGGCGAGGTTCGGCTTCTTCCGGATAGTGCAGACGCGAGCTAGCATAGTATGGAAGCGACATAGGATTAGATAGCGTTATCTGATTTGGTTCGATTTGTATCAGATTACTTGGGGTTGTGCCGAAGCTTCTAGGATTTTTCGCATCAACCCGACAAAAGGGTTGTCTGGTGTCTGGTTTACGTGTATCCTTAATATGTTTGCAATCGAGTAATCATTTTGAGGTTATGTGAATAACAGAACGCTTATAAGCAATAGAGGTGTATAAATTAAAAGGTAAATAATGAGGCAGAATTTGGAACTTCATTCATATTGAAGCGAGATAATGGTAATTATCGTTGGTTTTATAATTTAAAATCTTATAACGCAAATCAAAAAATCCATTGATTATTATATCTAAATAAAACACTTTAACGTTTTAAAAACGCGAAATATGCGCGTAGTTAAAATAATTTGTAGAGTTTAAGAAGTATATGTCGCTGTTTCAAACCGTTACATTGTTACGGAAACTACAGTATTTAAGTTACATATTAATTATTTTAAAAATATAAAGACAACAATATTAACTAAAAACAACTATAACTCTACAGTAAGGAACACAGCTTAGCTTGACTTTAGGAGGTGATAGTACTTACTACTTCATGTTAGTAATTAGTTTTAACAGCAATAAATTGTATTGGATACTTTATTTTAAGTACACATAAAAAATAATCTACTCTATAAGTTTCTTAAGCTGTTTGTTTAATAAAAAAAGCCTATTCCATGCTTTATTATCACGTCAGAGCTAATGGCTTCAAACAGATGGGGGCGAGAAACGCGGGGCTATAATTATCCCATAGTGCAGTAATGGCTTTGTGTCATTCAAGTCAAATGAATAGCGACCGAGTACGATGTGAAAGACTCCTCGGATGATTCTCATCGGATACGCGGAGACCAGACGTGATTGGATGTCTTAATTATTTAATACACTTTTATGCAGTATGAACATTGAACATACCAGAAGGAAGTGTATAGAAGAAAGCTAAGTGGCATTAAAGTATATAATGTATCTATTAGGGAAATGGACGAAAGAATATCCTTAATTAAAAAATTAGGTTTCACTTTAGAATAATTCATTCATGAACTAAACTGCAACACAACAAACAACTAACCATTAAACTATACTTTTCCCTCTTCACATGGTGGTTCGAGACTCCTATGGAATTTAGATATTCCTAACACATATTTAATATCCAAATTGCCAGCCGAAGATCAATTGTTTTGGAAAATTGGATATTAGCCATACATTGCTACTATCAGACCAACGAGCGTGTCAATAGTATGGTAATAAGCATATGTTTAACATCGCATAACAACCAAAAGTAAAGACTTGATAAGTCTAGATATTACTAACGTTATACAGATTAAACAGTAACTTAGAAGCTCTAAATTGACCATGGATCTGATACCATGTTAGTGGTAAGATGGCCTACAAAGGCGTTCCGTTTTATCGTCAAGCAATATACGTGTTAGCTCACGATTCCTCGGTTCTTGGAAGTCGAGAACCCGACGTCGGCAGATACAAACAAACATTATCTTAGGAGCGTGCGTAAAACGAGAATGACGGATACGACAACTGTCATAACAGTGGCCGTGATATGACCCGTTTAATGGGCCATTTAGTAGCGTTTATGTTTTAGTGCTTAATGCTTATACTTATGTATAAAATAAGTTTGACAGTTCACGTGAGTTGAGTATTGTAGGTTCTAGAACTGAAATCAAATACGAATTAAAACGATTTGACGGACACGATGGTATAATGGTGGTAGAAATGTGTGGAGAATAATCCCCATTGGGACCAACAGATATGTATGTTTTATTTAAATAAAAGACTTTAGCGGTTTAAAATGCGATATATTAGTTAAACTTATTTGGAAATGATTTTTAACTTCGGCTCGACGTTTCGAATGCTTTGCCGTGGACACGGGGGGTCACTCTCTAGTCTAGACAGTATGTATGTACTAAGAAAAATTGTAAACTATTACAGATATGTAATCAATTTACATATTATGGTATTATTAAATTATGGTAAAAATATCGAATTCCGTCTGAACCTTGATCCACGAATTAAAAAGTAGTAAATCTTAATCGCGTTTCGGTTTCACTCTGTGGATTCGAAAATAGGTCGATCGCACATCTGGTTTAATTAAGTTAACCCCATTCCTCCTCATAAAAAAGATCAACTTAAAATATCACTTAGACAAGTCATTATCATGTACATAGTTAATAAAACATTCTTTTTTATTACATTCGCATCAATGTAAAATATAAATAATTCAAAACATTCATTTCTATCAATCAAATATGGTCTTAGCGTATGAAACATTTTTCGTTTAACCGCAAAAATCTATATCATTTTGAACGAAGAATCAATTTTATTTTTCAATCTAATAAAAACTGTGAGATCTCACAACAATATATATTTTATTGATTTATAACATATTACATAATATACGTTGGTATTTAACGACACTCTATTAAAAATAAAAACGTCATACAAACTTTAAGCAATCGGTTCTTTAAAGGAACTTGTCATCTCTTTGCCCTAATAAATGTAAAACTTATCAACATGTTTCATAATTCATGTCGGCAAAGCACATCTATAGCCCGGAAATAAGTTCATCGTCCGCTTTATGTAATCACAATACAAGCTAGACAGCCTGATAACATCTTTCGTTCGGTTCAAGATTCTATTACTGCGATTAATATAGAACAAACGTTAACGGTGCTGTAAACTTTATAACATCACTAGCTGTGCCCGCTACTTCGTCCGTGTAAAATCGTTATTTTGCAAACCATCTTCTTTATATTTATATTATAGCTGTTACCCACCACGTCTGTCACATCCCGTCGTTCTTGCAAGTTTATATTAAAATGTATATACTGACGCGGGAAATCTTTTTAAGATAATTTAAAGATCTTAATACAAATTTTTTGAGTATCTTGAACAGTTTGATAAAATTATTTTTACTAACCGATAACCTTTAACCGGTTTTTGTTTTTAGATGATTATGATTTCAGGAACGGGGATGAAGTCGGGTAGGTCACTAAAGTTGGGGAGACTGAGAGTTTAAGGAAAAAAATACAAAAATGTGTTTGCCCCGTGCCCCTTACGAGAATACATTACAATTTTGAACCCGACAGCTTGACTACATTTAATTTAAAAAAAATCATGTTTCGCATGCAAATGAGGAAGTTTAATAATGTGAAACTGTAGTTTGTGGGACAGACATATTACTGTGTCGGCTGCACTGATATAATTTACTATAAGGATACATTTCTTTTTCGGAGATTTGAACCCAAAATCTCTCGTCTTTAATCCAATGCAAAATTATTTAAAAGTAAACAACTGTACCACAAAGGGACGTTTATATAAATATAATATGTGTTTGCATTGTGTTTATCAAAGGCCAATGTTTATTATGCAATATGGTAATGACACGCCCTTAGCGGATATTACGAAGGAAAGCGCGACGCCCACGCCATGCAGCCACACACCTGTATGTGGGCCCTAACGATATTGCGTGGTCAAGGTTTGGGACAATTCGTAAGCATTATGATAAATTGAATCTCGATATAGACTATAAACGGTTACAAATCTATTTTCTTTGGTACACAAATAGTCTTTGTTATTGTTTAAGATACACAATTTTTTATTCAAGTACTTTAAACAAATGGTGCGCAGCTGGATGGCTCTCGCGGCTCCTTGGTTCCAATATCGGGTTTACATTATATTTTAAAATAGATAGGGCACAGAAGTATGATCAACTGCCTGCTTTGTGTTGAAATAAATACAAAATGTGACTGTCCCTCGACAAGTAGGCCAAAGGAAATTTTAAATTATGAACATTTGTAATCCTCGATATGAACTCCACTAAGGTGTTTAAATATATATTTTATCTTCAACCCGTCATTTT